CGAGTGACTTGAAATCCCCTAAAACAAGAGTGGCTGAGAGTCCCTGCACGAGTCGGCACACGAACCTCTCTTAACCGGAATTTCGGCGACTCGCCATATTGATTAAGTGACCGGACAAGTACAAAGAAACTTTGCTTTTTTATCGCTGTGCATCGGGCCAGATTTTATTTCGATGTAAGTACCGATGACCGAGGAATGTGCTCGTATGATGGAAGATGATGATTGTTGTGTGTATTGATCAGAGGAGTGTTTCCCCGCCGTGATATTAAGGGGTTTGTTTGGCCTCCTCAGCTGATCCTTTTGACAACTGCCCCCCGCCCGCCGCTGCTCGGATGCCCACGGAGGGAGGCCTTCTCTCCCTCGCAGCCCTTCCCTTCCTCCTCTCTCGCTGCCCTGCATTTGACGGGAAAATCGCTGTGGCCGTTTCTTTGTTTCTTTGCGAGGGCGTCGGGGCGGGCGGCCGAGGGTGCTGGGTCGATCGGTTTCTCCCGAGGAGGCTTCGGAAACCTGGCTCTCGGATTTTTTTCTGGCTGCGGGGGATGGGGGGACGCGGAAGGAATGAGGACGTGTATTAATGCACTTTAATTGGAATTATACTGAGCCCTTTTGTACCCCTGAAATACGAAATGAGGAAATCCCTGCACCTGCCCACTGGAGTTGATGAATAAATTTGCTAGGCTAGGACAAGTTATCATTTGGCACTGGGGGGTATATGCAGTTATCTGTATTTACACCAGTAACTTCAGAAAATATTAAATGAATGTACTGTAGTGTTCGGTGCATTGGCATATAACATAAGCAAGTATTTTGGCTGCACTGAATAAAACTGCACATAAGGAGATGGATGTAAAAATTAGGGTATGAGGTCGGAATTTATGCTGCCTTGACAACTTGGATTTTGATATTACATTATCCAGATACCACTGTTAATTTAATGTAATCTTTTCAGTATGTTTAATTATATTATTGGAAGCATTGGGTAGTTGTCCATCTTGATAGTGGCAGTGTTGGAGGATTACTGGAACCTTTAGCCGGATGCTCTAATAAAGAGCATTAAGCCTCCGTTATGTATATTCTAACAAGATAAAGCTTGGACTAATTCCAGTGTAATGAGAAAATGCCAGGATGGTAAAATAAAAATTCTAGCTTGTCAAAACTTATTTTGTATTGCTGTAGTGCTGAAAAGCAAGGAAGCCAAACGTGCTATAATGGCGATGAGAAAGGTTTATTAATAAGATAGGCCTTAATCTACTTGCAGTCATAAGCCAATATATTCCCCAAAATCCATAGAATGAGTTTAACCAATAACCCTCACCTGGTTTATTTGGATTAGATAGAGCTAGTAGACCTTACTCATTGGGTTTTGTGAGGTGGACCTTGTGGTCAAGGTATTACTATTCCAATATATACTTTTTATTTTATTTATTTATTTTTTTAACTGCTCTGTAAGAGAATGAGGCCATAGCAATATTTTATCTTGATCTGTATAATTTAGATACATAGCTGTATGTATGCAAGATCTCTTTTGCTGGCATAGATGGTAATTAGCAAGGAATTGGGAATTGATGAATCCAGTATGAAATTGGAGGTCATTGTAAGGAAGCTGCACCTGGATTTAGTATTTATTTAGAGCGATACACCCTTCAGAGACGGTCTAAAAACCAGGGGTATCTGTGCCAAAACCCAAACCTCAACTTTCTCACCTTTTTATTTACTCTCTAGACGGTGCGAAACCCCCCTATACCCCTCTTTATTAGCACTTTGTCAGCTTAAAGAAAAGACATTAAGAACTTGCTGTGTCTGTTTGTGTGTGTGTGTGTGTGGGGGGGGGGGGGTATTTGGTCTCTTAGTGATATGGAGTGGGTGTTTTTATTTCGTGGTAAATATGAAGCCACAGCAGCTGTTATGTTTATTTCTTATTTATTACTATATTTATGCTCTATAAGATAGTGGTTTCCATTTACCCTCTCCCTGTGCTTCACCCTCGGTAACATTAACCTTTTCTTTCAATCTTGGCTGTGGGGAATAGGGTTGAATAGGAGTTGAGACCCCTGATTTTCCCAACTTGCATATAGCAATCCCCCAGATCCCCATTCTATGGCAAGTCCCTGTTCTCCTTCCCCAGTTTTTCCCTATTAGGAGTAAGCTCCTGGATCCTCTATTCCTACATTCCAACTCCTGCAGGTTATTACTCCTAGGGTATTTTCCAGACAGGAACAAGTTTAGAGACCCCCATACATTAATTAGCTTACCTTACATTTATCAGCTGGGAAAGTGTTTTTTGAAATTGAATCTTGTACTTAGGGTAATGGGTACAAGTTATTGAGAGCAGTGCAGAGATATTAGAGGAAATGGACACTGCCACCTTATAGAGCAAATGAAATATAGGAAGAACATAGGTACAGCTGCATAGGCATCATATTTACTGAAAAATAATAAAAATATCCACTGTATATCACCGCTCAGACTATATCCAAAACACCCTCGCACAAGCAGTTCTTAATGGCTGTTTTCTATAAGTTAGCATGAAGTGCTAATAAAGGAGGGCTACAAGGGGCTTGCCCCCTGGTGTAGGGAATAAATATAAAGTAGGAAAGGTTAGGCTAGCTTTTTGGGTTTACATGACACCTGGGTTTTGGGACTTGTTCTCTAGAGGGTGTGTTGCTCTGGGTAACAATTACTTGGTAAAATAGTCTTAACATCTCTTGGTATATATAAAGTCAACATACCATGGTTGCACTCCACATTAGATGTCACTTTTGTTCAGTCTCTGAACAGGTGACAAGTCTAGATTAAAATGCTGGTAAATTTGCATTAGGCAAAAAATGTTCAGAATGTCAAATTTGTGGTGTACGTTCTGCCGTAGAAGTGTTAGGAAAAGAAGAGTATAAGGGAATGTTTGATACATATGGGTTAAGACAAAAACTGTTAATTTAAGGGTATTACTTTTGCTCAAAACTTATTTCCTGGGGATGAACAGAGGTGGAAGCTAGCAGTATTGTTTACATTATAGATAATTTTAGATAATGAGGCTAGTGGACTTGATTAACAGATTTGGCTGACATCTAAGCCAATGCTGCTTTCATGAGGGATATCACCAAGACCAAGACCCAAAATCAAGGTATCATCATGCAAACCCAGAAATCCAGACCTACCCATTCTGTACCCCCATGTATTAGCGCTTTGTGCAAACTAATTGAGAAAGTAACATTAACAACTCGGGAGGTGTGAGGGTTTTTGGTCTTAGTCTAGGATTGGGGATATGCAGCAGATATTTTTTGGTAAGTGAGGCTACAGCTGCTATACCTTTGCTTGACTATTTCTTGTGCTCTTTAAATGGTGGTGTCCATTTCCCTCTGTGTAGCTCTTGGTAAACATGAAACATAAATGTATGTAGTGTGGTCTTCGCATTGCCAAACTGCAATGCTAGAATAGGTAGGATGAAGTCTCCTACAAACTTAGAGGGTATCCGTGGTTTTGCATCGCAAGGAGCTGCATCTTGAATTTGCCAGTTTAAGGTTGGTTAGTGTGTATTTAAGGGCAACTGTTAATGGAACACGTTTTATTGTATGTAATAAATAGATGACTTTTCAAATTAAATTGATTAATCATATTAACCCATTACCGCCGGTGTATTTTGAAGCTGAAAATAAGATTCCTGGGGGCTACAAAATCGGCTGCGTTGAAGTGTGAGCCCTGATACGTCACACTGGTGGGACGCCTGGCAATGTTTATTTTAATCGGGTGTCTTGTATGTGGGACACCCATCGTTACTGGGTTAACCCAATGCCGCAGGGTAAAATAAGTTTGGAAAGTGGACATAATGGGATTATTTGCACGCATTGGCAGTTTCCCAAGTTTGTGTCTGACTCTCAGTAGTTTGTGAGTGACATTCGGCACTTGAAAGCTTTGATTTTGCTATAATTTTTAATATGAATTTGAAGGTTTACCTTCACTTTAGGTGCTATTGTCTAAAAGTTTTACCATATATATGAAGCCACTACTATTGGAGAAAAACAAACTCCTTCCAATAAGCCAGTGGCGCAAAAATGGTCATATGTTGCCATTGTATCTGTCCACAACAGCCATGGCATATACGTACATGTCACTTGGCAGCAAGTGGTTAAGAAAATGCCCTTTTTAAACTCATAAGTAATTTGAGATGAGTTTATAGGAACTTGCACCTCCAAGAAAGATCAACCTTAGTATTTAGCATGTTGAATTGTTTGAATATTTGCAACAAATTACAGTGAAACTTTTAAGGCTTTATTCAAATGTGCTGAGGATATAATTGTAGTAGTCAAGTCTTGAAAGAGGCTGTCACTGAAAGGTAAACATTTTATACTTTTTATTCTACATGTACTATGTACAATTTCCATATTTTCAATATTAGTGTTTTTTCTACAAAGGTTAGGGATCTTTGTGAATAGGACTCCTTTCATTTCAAAAACAAAATCATAATTAGCAAGTCAACCATGAAAATATCTCAAATTATCAAAATTATAAGGACAGTGGCTTTGACTTGTTTGTATATATTTTTTAGGTCAAGGTTCCACTACCCTCCTTCAACACGATTATAATCATGTATAAGGATCATTACCTAGGTTCACTATATCAGGATCAAGGGGATCCAGACCTAGAACATTACCCAAGCTTTGTTTTTCTGTGTGAACTAGAGCAAATGTTTCTTAAAAATGTTGTGTAGTTGTGGATTTGTTTTTAAACCAGACTACAGGTGCCTGCAAAGGGTTTGCAAGCAGCGTCCCTATTTACTTGTGTGTACATGCTTGGGAAAGTGGCAGTTCATGTAGATGTAGATTGAAGAAAGTAAACTATAATTTATTTGATTGCTCCTTAAACTCTTGATAGAAAGAAGCAAACTGTTTTCATAATTTTCCTCATGGTTACTCTCCTTAGTGTCTTGAATATAAAATTTGCTTGAAGACACAGGAAACTATTGTGTATTTTAAACTTGTCTACAGCAAGTAGTGAAAATGCTGATTTTTCTTCATAGGATACATTAAAACTGCATCAATCTTTAAGCAAAAGCCGCCTGGGTAGTACAGATACTTCAGCATTTGATGGTAAAAGTAAATAAAGATGTATTAATGTTTGCTCTCCAAGTTGGGGTAATGTTTAAGCAAATGTATTTTCAGATTGGTAAGGCATGTGTGTGTGATCATAAATTAGATATATCTGGATGGGCATAATGTTTATTGGATTAAAGTGTACAGCATCAGCTCAAAATTTTTTATGTATGTAAAACTGTAAAATACCTCCCCACCCCCCACCACCCACCCCATAAGCTATCTGCAAATCGGTTAAAGTTGTGCATGATCTATTTCAAGACATGTTAGTACTTTACTGATTGTGAAATCACTCCCATTAGTTTCATAAAACCATGAATTTACTTAGCTGAAATTAAAGATCTTAAATAACCTTTTATATAGCTGAAAATGCAGCCTTTGTTAACTGATTCTGCATTTGAATAGATATTTTACCAAGATTGAAGGTTGATATTTGATTGCTATAGAGTTTTGACCTTTACTTTCAGAGCTATAGCTAATTTAAATATGATTAAAAAAGTATATAATCGTTTCTATATGCAAACCCATCTAAAATCGTCTGCAAAATTCACAGCATATCTCATAAGGCATGTACATACATAAATGGCTCCTCTGTATTAACACATTTCCTTTTGGATTTCACCCCCCCCCCCTTTTTTTTTTTCTTTTTTCTTTTCTTTTCCTCTCTCTCTAGGTAGGCCCAGTATTTGCCTTGGAAAGGAAATACTTCAAGAGTCATCTTTACAGGGAGGGGGGTGAATTGACTATGTTCATTCATTGACCCATTGGCTGGTGTATTTTGCAATACGGCACATAATCCTGTAGCATTATTTATTTTAAACTCGGGAGGCGTATGGGTCCATGTTGGATAGTGCACACTGTGGAGGTGCTGCTTTCCCTCTATGTATATATGAACATGCTTATGTTTGTGTACGTATATATAAACCCTTGCAAATACATGTAAGCACGCAAACCTATGTAAATGCGCTCTGAAAGAGTGGAGGGCCAGGTTTCTGCACGCACTGAAGTGTTCAACTCCTTTGGTGGGTAACACCCCATTGCCTGTGCAGGCCTGGAGTGGCAGGCCTGGTCTCTGGAAGGCTGCTAAGGGGCACCGGCTTGGTGGCTGATATCCCCTGGCCCACTTGCCTCCCAGGCTGCGCGGCTGCCCATTGCTCTAAGGGGTTGAACGTCAATTACTTTGCATAGTATGATACCATCCATAATCAGAGGGTTAATTGGTGTAATGTTGTATTTTATTATGAATAAGATTTTCCATGGTAATACGTTCATATATTAGAATTGACCGTTGTGTCATTGGTTGAGGTTGTGGGAGGGGCTAGGCTTTCTAATGTTATTTTAGAAAAAAAAAAATCTAGTCAGATGCTTTAATAATCTAACCTCAAAGTGGAGGAAGGAGGCAGGTAGCATTTTTCTATACATGTGTGTGTGTATATGATTGAGTAATGTTATCTGGAAATGGTAAGATTTGTATCCCTTTTGCCAAGTGATGTAGCTTTCTATAGACATGATTTCCTTTGTTAGAAACATTTTAAGGTCTGCTTTTGTGTACAAAGTTTTGCTTCACATCTATTGGTGTTAGTGTGCCTGTTCACTTTGAGTTAAGGTATGACAATATAGTTTCAGGATGTAGTGATGATTTTTAATATTTATTTGGAACAGTAGAAATAAGATACCACAAAGGACCAGCTGAGTGGTTCTTACATCTACTTCCAAATTTTTTGAACCTGTTTTAGGCTCTTGTGAACCTACTTTCCTGTTTCAAGATCATTAACCAGTGCCTTAAAATGGTGTGATAAATGACTTGTATAATCCTGTGCATATTTATACTTCCCTCACCAGACTTCTTCTAGAGTAGAGGCACTTTTCCTAAAGTATTCATATGGTTAAATTCCAGTGTTCACAAAAGCTTCACAATTTGTATGGAGAAATTTGAGGTTCAAAAAGATTTTTGTTCATAGTTTTTCCAAAAAGTAGGCTTGTACAGATTAGTAGCATCTCAAGAATTTGATTCACATCGGCAACTTTTATATTGTAATAGTGTGATATACATTTTGCAGTGTTTATCAGCTGCTTTTGATTTAACAGGGATATGAGGATTTTTTTTTTCATTGAATGTTTTTTCCTTTGCAGTGTTTGGTAGTGGGGTTCTCAAGGGCCCTTACCTTCAATCATCATGGCTGACATGGCCACACTTCCTAATCATGCTTCTCCAGTCAAACCCATCATCAATAATCAGGTTGTCAAGTAAGTAGTTTCCATTTTTTTGTTTACAAATTTGACTTGTTAATCTTCTCTTTTTATAAAAAAATGTAATTCTTTTGTGAATTTAGTTTGCACATCCATGACACCCAATACTCTGCCACCAAGAAGCCAATTACTGGGACTGTAACATCAACTCGTTTCCCTTTTTAGAAAAGTTTTCTAATGCTGTTAAGTTAATATTAATGTTATTGCTTTAGCCATTATGATTATTATAGTGTCATTAACAATACTGAGGGCAGTAATTTTTTCAAATCTGAAATCTATTAAAAGGGTACAGGTGAGTTAGATAGAAATGGTGCAGTAATTGATTCCTTGATGATGAAGCCTTGCGGAAGATAATTTTCTGTCATATGTGCTCCTCAGATTTCAAATAACAGTAGGCTGTGGTTCTTGCTCCAGCACAACTATCTTGCACTTTCAAAAGCTGAAACTTTTACCCCCCAATAATGAAATAAAATTGAGATCTTAAACCAAGAGAAAGTGTATAAAAAGATCACATATAGTGCATGTGCTTTCTTTCAACTGAAAAGTGCGCTTAGATGAAATTACGAATGCAGCGCAAACTTAGCAGTCTAGTCTGTAAAGACAATTGACAAACAGTTGACATGGCATGTATTTTTGCCAACCTGGCAACAATGTGTAAAAAATCTTTGCAAGGCTTGTAAATGTTGTATACTTTTAAATGACTAATGTGAATTGAGCAAACTTGCAACAATATTTTCATTCCTCTTAAGCTTTAAAATAAAATGAATCTGGTTCCCATACAGGAGAACTAGATGTATGAAAGAATAAAAAAAGATCTGCAGTGTTTTATTCAGCAAAATAATCTTGAAGTATAAGAAACTTGGGTAGTCATACACCTAGTACATCTAAAACACATTGGTACAAAGGTTCAGAATATGTCTATACACAAATACAGTAAAGGTATTGGTCAAAAACACTACACTTAACTGTTAGAAAAATTCTGTGGAGAGTAGATGTAAGGTCACAATTTTTTAGGGAAAACAATCTGTTTGTTGTAAATGCATGGTAACTTTGTTTTTAATACTTTGATAGGCATTGAGATTTCTCTTGAGGTTGAATCTATTCTACATGATCAGATATCATACCGGTTCTTAGCTGGCAAGATGCTCTATAAAAGAAGATATTTTTAATTCTACTTTTCTTTAAGTAGGTTAATCATATTTATTGATTACCTTTTTATGTTAGGCCAGTTTTTTACTAGATAAAAAAACTAGCCTAATTTCCAATTAGAAATAGCTGAATTGCTGGTCCCATAAAAATTGCTGAAAAATTAGTGATCTAACCCCATATATTTAGAAAATCAGAAATAGGTTTCTTGTATTGGTGATCCAAAATTTTATGTAATTTTACTTTCAAATACACAGGTTTTGTAACATCTGAAACCACTTGATAAGAAATGTTATCTTGCTTTCTACACCATTATTTTTTAGCATATTCCACATTTTCTTAATTGTTAATGATATTTGTATATTTTAGTTTTTTCTAAGATTTTCCCCATTTTTGTCTAATTGCATTGTACTAGTGTTTCATAAAGTTATTAGAATTAATTTAATTAACTTTAAAGCAAGGCACAACCATTTTGTAGTTTTACACGGAATCTTTTTATACCTTTAAAAATTGTTTATATGAAAGGTCATGCGTGTTAATACACAATTCCCAAGATCAGTCATTTGCATAGTGTTAGATAGTGGTCAGACTTTCATGTCCCATTCCTTGGAAATGCTGTTTTTCATAATCATTGAATTCTGAGCTTGGAGAAAGATGCAACACTAGTTTTTCATAATTTTTATAATCTTGTAAAGAGTTATCCTGCAGATATTTAAAGTTAATTTTCTCTTTGTGCAGGGCAACCGATGACAGATCGTGGAAGGCACAGATTCAAGTTCCCCCAAAGGACAGAAGGAAACGTACCTCAGATGTCACAGACACAAAAGGCAATGAATTTGAAGATTTCTGTTTGAAAAGAGACCTGTTAATGGGTATATTTGAGAAAGGTTGGGAGCGACCATCACCCATCCAGGAGGCATCCATCCCTGTAGCACTTAGTGGAAGAGATATTTTGGCAAGAGCAAAGAATGGAACTGGAAAGACGGGGGCTTATTCGATTCCCCTCCTAGAGCAGGTATGTACATTGATCAACTTTTTTTTTCTTTACGTATGTACAGCATGTTACTTTGGTCTATTTGATATTCAAATTGTGCACTGTTCTTTCAGATTGATCCAACTCAAAACCACATTCAAGCCATGGTCATTGTACCAACTCGAGAGCTGGCACTGCAGACTAGTCACATTTGTAATGAGTTGGCAAAACATATTGGAGTTAAGGTCATGGTGACAACAGGTGGTACCAATCTTAAGGTGAGTTGAGGATTGAAATGATGTCCGTTTTATTTAGGTTTGAAATTTATTTTCTTCATGATAAAGTATGAAACATTCAAATGTAACACTGAGATATATAGACTAAAACCTTCTGTGTAATGGACATGCATCTTTGTATTCTGAACAGGATGACATTATGAGAATTTATGAAGTTGTGCATGCAGTCATTGCCACTCCTGGTAGGATCCTTGATCTTATGGAGAAAAAAGTAGCTGTGATGGATAAGTGCAAGATGTTGGTGTTAGATGAGGTGAGCATAATAAATTTTTTTTTAATTTTGTCTGACTTCTCTCAAATTTTTTTTTATTTTTATTTTTTGTAATGTAGGAGTCTTATATTGTTTTTCATTTTACAGGCTGATAAACTGCTGTCACAAGACTTCAAGGGCATGTTGGACCGTGTCATTTCCTACCTGCCAGCTGAACGACAGATTCTTCTGTACTCGGCAACATTTCCACTAACAGTTGAACAATTCATGAAGAAACACCTAAGGCAAGTTTCTGTACTATCAATCTGAGCTATTTTTCATAGAATTCTATTCAGGGCATCAGTTAAACTTATTGGGTACTAATATTTCTTTATTTATATTAATTTGTATATTAATTTGTATTAAAGTTGGTTTACTGTTAAAATTAACTTATTACAGTATGTAAGATGCTAATTGCAATAATCTTTCAGATCACCATACGAGATCAATTTGATGGACGAACTAACCTTAAAGGGGGTGACGCAATACTATGCCTTTGTCCAAGAAAGGCAGAAGGTCCACTGTTTAAATACTTTGTTCTCAAAGGTAAGAGACAATACTTGTTGCCATGTAATTTCTGTATTCTTTTAGGGAAAGGCACTGCAAAACCATGTTAGGAAAGAATTAAAAAGATTTCCTTTATTCCAGCTACAAATCAACCAAAGTATAATCTTCTGCAACTCAACCCAACGAGTCGAGCTTTTGGCCAAGAAGATCACTGATCTGGGGTATTCTTGCTACTATATACATGCCAAAATGGCTCAGGCTCATCGTAATCGAGTTTTCCATGACTTCCGCGCAGGCTTGTGCAGGAATTTAGTTTGTTCTGGTAAGTTCAATGGAAGTTTTGTATGCTGTGAAAGGCTTGATATTGTTTGAATAGTCGTTAAGGAAAAAGATAATAAACAAAAATAAATCTCATCAGTGTTGCCAGTTGAAAGGTTATTTGATATTACAATGTACCTGAATATATATTTATGAAAAATCTAAGTTGCATCTATTTTGCAGACTTGTTTACCAGAGGTATAGACATCCAAGCAGTGAATGTTGTGATAAATTTTGACTTCCCAAAGATGGCCGAGACCTATCTCCATAGGATTGGTAGGTCTGGACGATTTGGCCACCTAGGTATTGCAATCAACCTGATTACTTATGATGATCGATTTGCACTGCACCGTATTGAGCAGGAATTGGGAACGGAGATTAAGCCTATACCCAAGGTTAGTTTATGGTTTATTGGTGCCCTTCTTTTCCTCTTGTCGGAGATTGTCAAGATAAAAAATATGTAAAATATTAAATATATGTTTTTCCATATCCAATCCAGATAAATGTTACAGATGTTCCAACTCTTGTGAACTGCCCTTTTTGACTCTTGTATCCAAAACATTTTGTAAAATATTAGTAAAAAGTGGTCATACATGGGCAGCATTGCTAACTTGAACATGAAAATGAATCGATAATTATGCTTGTTATGCTTCTGCCTTTTTATCTATCCCTCTCCTCCATTTTCCCTAAAACCTTTTCCTAAACTGCTTAGTTTGATTTAGAAAATGAAATATTTACATGCATTGCAGTTTTCTAATTGTGAAAGGTTACTCTTAAAAAAATCCAACTTTATATTTCAATTTTAAACTTGTTTGAGTATTAAACAGAGAAAGAATAGTATTTGGAAGGACATGTACCAATTTTTTTTTACTTCAATCTTTCAGGTCATTGATCCTGCACTGTATGTGGCAGAACATCACCTTGAAGAAGATGATGAAGGAAACATTAGCAAGTAATCCCTGTATCATGTGGGCAAGCTTGGGACGTGGGAATTCAAAAGTTTATTCCCCATTGTTTAGTGTCCCAAGGCCACTTTCGGCAGCCATCATCAGGAAGGCAGAAGACCTTACTCGCCGCATAGGCATCACCCAATTGGTTGTATGGGTGGTACTGTAAAGTATGGTGTGAAAGAACTTTTTTCAAGTGGTTTCCAAGACTGTAACTGAACTGCAAGACAGTATAGATTTGACTCTGAAATGTTCTTTTCTCAGGTGGTATTCTACAAATACAAAGATGACCCAGAAAATGGTGTGTTATGTGAGTAGTGTCTGAAAGTGTTTTTACTGATGGTTTGTGATGCCTATGCGGTGCTCGTGCTATGTTCTCCGATGCTCGGCTGGTCCAGAGAATGAGCAGCTGCGATGTAGACGGCACAGAATATGCAGCAAGTGTTGTGGCACAAACAGCATTGTGGTTGTTACCATAGATTACACTATGGAAAATACTTAATGGAATGAGTTTCATAGTTCATTGTTAAGGTATTTCTTGACACCTGCATACACAGGCTAAAGTGTTCGCAACAATGACGGTTAATTTTTTTATTTATTTTTATTTTTTAAAATCCTGAATGGGTTCGTTTTGTCAGGTTGTTGAAGTGGAAGTGTTTGAAAAAAAAAAGAACTGGGTCTTGTTCATGAACAGTGTTAATAATTCGCAAGACATAAATCCCATGGCTGGCATATACAAGAAATCTGAAGCCAGCTGATATACAAATGTTAGTCTGTGATGTATTTGTAATGACTTGAACAGACCACGGAAGAAGCAAGGCAAGACGAGCAGGAACTAGTGACTGGATTTTGCCTCCCTTTTGGTGGGTTTACGAGGTGGTCTTGGCTTCTGAATATTTATGTACAGTTAGAACAAGTGCATTGTTACCATCATTGGAAGTTAAAATGTTTCTGGAACTTCAAAAAACAAAAAAAAAATAGACTTCCTCATTTGCAGTTGAGGTTGTTTTTCAAAAAATAGAAACCATCACCCAAGGTTTTGCAGTCCAATTTGGTGTGACAATGCACATTTGGTAGTTTTGTAAATCTATTTTTATACAAGATGGAGTTCAAAGTTTCCAGTGGGCTAAATAGGTTTGAAACCTCCAACTAAAATGAAAGGGTGGGTCCACCAGGAACAACCTTTTGGCACCACTGGTACTTGGCACTCCTCTGTGTACAGTTTTTCCTGTGAAGGTCTGACTCGGCACCAGCCTACCGACTTCATTTGCAATGGGAAATTTGTAAAAAATATATTTACCATCATTGGTACAGTGCTGTGAGAAATGGACTCTTACGAATAGCACTGAGAGAGATGTACAAGGCTTGGTGAAACAATGGTGATGGGTTTGATGATGGCTTCAACTGAAGCCAGCGATGGATTATTCTAATTGAGAAGATTTATGGATTTCAAAAGCTTCAATCCCAAGCCACTACTGAGTAGTGTATTTTGCAGAGTCAATGCTAGGGTTTGAGGATTTATTGAAGTGCCTAAATCTAGCCAATTATCCCACACTAACATCAGCTGCAAATAGTCATGGCAGCATCTAATTACTTTCAGTGATAGGACCCACCCAGACTTTACCTGATCAATTTAATATTGCTCCCCTTAAAATTCAGTTAATGTGTTTTTATTAGTTTTTATTCATTTTTCTTTTTACATTTCTGATCAGGTGGGGTTTTAAATGTTTTGGTTTCAATGGAGCAAATGTACTCCAGTTTTACAGTTGACAAGAACATCGGTCACAGAATTCCATCAGAGGAGTACTCTAGCTATGAGTGTTTGTAGTCCTGCATTCATAGCTTGATGAAATATTAGTTAAAATCCAGGCAATATATATTTTTTTTATTGTTAATGTAAATGACAACCAGTTCTTGTCTGGTCCTTTATTGTTTTGTTTTGGTTTACAGGACTGCTACCACTGGCATAAATGCCAACTATTTATTTATTTTGTATTTTTTGATGTTATCTTTTGAGGTTATCATGTAATTTTGATAATATCTTGCATTTTTTCACATGGTTTTTTAAACAAAATGCTTTAATGCATAATTAGTTCATTATAAAAGATTTACAGAAGTGCTATGTCAGTAAAATGTTTATGGAGTACAAACATTGTAAGAAGGAAAATACTTTCCGATAATTAGGAGCAAGATATTAACCAACTGATGGCAGTATTTAATGTGCTTCAAATGGTACTGGAAATTGGCGAGTGTACTTTTGTAATACGAAATTGCATTGCTCCAATTGAAGGTAACCAAGGCTGAAAAGGGAATAAGTTGTATGCAGTTATTTATCTCCTGAAGGATAAAACTGGACAGTTGAGGTGATTGAAATATTAAATGGTAATTTCCCATATTGAAGATGACAGGCACAACAAAGTACAGCACTCGGGCTGCAGGGGTAATCATGACAAGTTTAATTATATTTTCCCCCAGTTGCATCTTTTCATGACCACCATGAATTGTTGATGTGCCCATGAATTACCATCTTGGTTTTTATAGTGGTTCTTTATCTTTTTTATTAGTATAATATTTGAGTTGCACTTTTTTTCATTATTCAAGAATTTGCATCTTGAATGTGCTACCAGTCTGTTATTTTTTTCATTTCTCTTTAAATAGTTCATGCAGATTGGACAAAAATAACACCAAACAAAGGAGCTTCCTTTATTTTTGTTCATATTATAGTTCTCATTGGAAAAGGCATTGATTTCCTTGTAGCTCCAAAGGAATGTTTATTTTATTTATTTATTATAATTATAATTGTTATTATTGTTATATCTAAAAGGAAAAAAAGGGAGATCTGTAGTTCCATAAATAAGAGGCTTTAAATCTGACAGTTTTAGATTCTAAAATGTTAAATTCAGAAATTGTAAAGAAGTTTTATTATTTTTCATTTTGTATATGGCAAACCTTTAAAACAAATCCATTACTTTAAAATGACTGTTAGACAAACCTCCCATGATTGCGTGGACTGTAACATCAACTGGAACTAATAGTCCACCCGAAATAAAAAAAAGAAAAAAATGTAAAAAAAAAGATAAAAATCATATAAAAAAAAAAGTGACGGAGTAGCGAAAATTGGCTCTTTGGCAATCCGATTCGAAATTTCTTTATTTCAAATTTGTATTCATCTACAAAATTGTCAAAATCATTCAGTAAATCAAAAATAATTCTCCTCACTTCAAAATTTGTTTTATTACACCTGATTATTTCTTTTAGTTCATACATACCAGCACCTCCATTTTTAACTTATTTTCAGTTTTTGTTTTTCAAAGACACCAGTGTATCTAAATCTTATTTCAGGGAGTTTTGCCATCTTCCCCATGCAGCTTCCATTCTCCAAGTTCTGTAACTTGTGCTCGAGAATTCATTTTGCTAAGTGCATTATATTTAATTTTCCCCTTCCCTCTTTTATAGTAGCTTTCACAGATCATTTGCATTATTAACTTTTTAATAGATTCTTTTATTTAATTTTTAACCCCCTCATCCATCCTACACTTCATTCACTTGTTTTTCCGTTCCCTTCATGCATCGTAATGGTCCACTCACAATCAAAATTGATACGTTAACATGATTGCATTAAACTTCACGCATTATAGTGTTCAAAAGAAAATTTTAAAAATTCTTTGTCCGTCCCTGCAGTAACACACCTGCATTGTTCTACCACAGGCTTTTTATTTTTATTTTTTATTTTTACAGCAAATCGAGAGGACCCCTAACAGCGACGAGGAACCGTTCAGTACTCATTCTCTGCACACATCGCCTTGAGATACACCAACACAACACGAAGTGGGGGACACATTTCTACACTCTTTTGAAACTGTTAACCATGAATTTCAAACCACAAGGGGAAAAGTAAATTGCAAACCATTTCTTTTGGTTTGTATTGCGGTTCAAGGTCGTCTGCTATGCCCACTTAAGAAAATTGCCGCAATATTCATATTTTAAGTTTCAGCTTCTCGCTTACTGTCCTTTTTGAAAGTATCATCGGATTTCCTTGTTTAATTTTATTACTTGTGCAAAATCATTCCATTACACAAACCATATTTATATACAAAAACATAACTCGAGCAAATTATATTTGAGAAATCAATTTATTCAGTGTTCGAAACTAAATTTGACTTATTTTATAAAATATTTTTTATGGTTTATATTGATAGAACGGATTTCATGGTAGTGGCCATGTGGAAACAATCGCTTTATATTTTTCTTTTGATTTCGCAGATTCGTAGTCAGAATTTTCAACGCTGCAAATACCCTGGTAATAGTAAAACAAATGGCCGGGTGCGTTTATAATTATATGAAATAAATTGAACTAAAATTTCCGCAGTGTATAAGCAAAGCAATTATGTATAACAAATGATAAAGGAAGTATTGCTGTATGGTCTTTAAAAAATAGACTACCATTTCTATCGCAACAACCTGTTCCGGCTTTTTGTAGCCGAAGAGCCACTACACAGAAAACAAAATTTGTAAAATGAATATCAGCAAATTATAATTGATGTACTGCTTTACCAGATCTAATTTGTTTAAAACGAGAATTGGATACAGAGGGTTTTTTTACTGGTTAAAATTTTATAAAAGGATCAAGAAATTTGGGATAAATTCTAGACGTATTCAGTTATGCGTATTGGAGTAATACTGATATAAAATGCAACATTTTAATAGCGGGCGGGATTTAATAACGAATAAACGCAAATGGAAAATTCTTGCTTCGTCCATCTTGTTTAATTATACCTATCAAAGAAGATAAAACTATATAAGAAAAGTCCACCAACAGAAAGTAACCACACTTTAATACATCTCCCCACAAACGGGCATAGACACCTCCCTATTTTCCCCTTTTCACTACCATAACTTGTCTACAACCTTTGACGTCTAACATATTTTATCCTAATTAAGTAACTTTTAACCTTTGTCAATACTTTATCATAAGGCTGTATGACCTTTCCATACCGAAGGACTTCGCCTCCAAGCATAGCCTGTATACGCCGCTACCCTAGATGGCACGGTAGAAAATTCTCAAACTGAATTCCGTCCACATCCTCAAGTGCGAGAGCCATGCTGAAAGGATGATGGGCTGGCTTTGTGTCAGTCCTGAACGGCCTTCGGACTCAAGTTTGCACTTTCCTCTCTATCCTTTCACTACCTTACTAAACTACAACACACTACAACCTATGGCAGCTAAGAGTTTGTCCTAATCTTTTACTCATTTTTATCCTTTCCGTCTCAATGCTTCATCTTGGTGCTGCATGACCTTTAATGTCTGGGAATCCACGAACATCGCCTTATGAACAAGAAAACTTTCTTACCCTGGAGTCCTTCGTCCCCGAGCCTCACCTGGCGCTATATTTTTGAATAAGCTGCTAATGACCATATATTTTGAAATGGCAGTAAAATTTCAACAAATAATAATTACATTTATACATACATATATTTATAAATGCATACATAAAGTACATACATGTATGCATACATTTAGCTACCTACGGGCAGTAGATGCATGTATGCATACATTCAGAAACAGGCCCCGTTGACACGATCGAGCACTGCCCAACGTATATTCGTCTAATACCCGCTGTTCGGGCTAATTTGGCGAACAAACCGACACAGGTCTATACAGACACACTAAAAGCGCACCCATGCCCATGGTCGAGCGAAAACACCACACAAAGGTTATTGTATATGTGTATGTATATCTGCATTTGCATACGCGATGCGTGTATATGTACTTGCATAAGCGATGCGTATATCTGTATTTGTGTATGCAGTGCCTATATCTGTACTTGTGTGTGTCATGCGTATATCTGTACTTCTGTATGCAGTGCATATATCTGTACTTGTGTATGTCATGCGTATATCTGTACTTGTTGTACTGTGTGTATGCAATGCATATATCTGTACTTGTGTATGCAGTATGTATATCTGTACTTGTGTATGCAGTGCGTATATCTGTACTTGTGTATGCAATGCGTATATCTGTACTTGTGTATGCAGTATGTATATCTGTACTTGTGTATGCAGTGCGTATATCTGTACTTGTGTATGCAGTGCGTATATCTGTACTTGTGTATGCAGTGCGTATATCTGTACTTGTGCAGTATGTATATCTGTACTTGTGTATGCAGTATGTATCTGTACCGTTATCTGTATTGTGTATGCAGTGCGTATATCTGTACTTGTGTATGCAGTGCGTATATCTGTACTTGTGTGTGCAGTGCGTATATCTGTACTTGTGTGTGCAGTGCGTATATCTGTACATGGTATATCTGTACTTGTGTGTGCAGTGCGTATATCTTACTTGTGTGTGCAGTGTTATCTGTACTTGTGTGTGCAGTGCTATCTGTACTTGTGCAGTGCGTATATCTGTACTTGTGTGTGCAGTGAGTCTATCTGTACTTGTGTGTGCAGTGCGTATATCTGTACTTGTGTGTGCAGTGCGTATATCTGTACTTGTGTGTGCAGTGCGTATATCTGTACTTGTGTATGCAATGCGTATATCTGTACTCGTGTACTTGTGTGTGTCATGCGTATATCTGTACTTGTGTGTGTCATGCGTATATCTGTACTTGTGTATATATCTGTACTTGTGTGTGTCATGTGTACTTGTGTGTGTCATGCGTATATCTGTACTTGTGTGTGTCATGCGTATATCTGTACTTGTGTGTGTCATGCGTATATCTGTACTTGTGTGTGCATGCGTATATCTGTACTTGTGTGTATATCTGTACTTGTGTATGCAGTGCATATCTGTACTTGTGTATGCAGTGCGTATATCTGTACTTGTGTATGCAGTGCGTATATCTGTACTTGTGTGTGCAGTGCGTATATCTGTACTTGTGTGTGCAGTGCGTATATCTGTACTTGTGTGGCAGTGCGTATATCAGTGCGTAGTACTTGTGTATGCAGTGCGTATATCATGCGTATATCTGTACATGTGTATGCATCCGACTCCTCGGATGAGAAGCCAACACGTTACCACTGTACTACCCTGGAAGCTTTTATATGCAATGTGTATATCTGTACTTGTGTATGCAGTGCGTATATCTGTACTTTTAAATGCAATGCATATATCTGTACTTGCGTGTATCTGTCCTTGTATGTGCAGTGCGTATATCTGTACTTGTATATGTACCTGTAAATTTAATGCGTATACCTGTACAGTACCTGTAAATGCTTGTATGCAATGTGTATACCTGTACTTGTATATGTAATGCATATGCAATGCACATTCCTCTACTTGTATATGTAATGCATATACCTGTAAATGTATATGCAATGCGTATACCTATACTTGTATATGCAATGTGCATACCTGTACTTGTATATACACTTCGTATGCACTGCTATATTGCACTGTATACTGTACTTGTATATGCTGTGTATATGTCTTGGTATATGCACTGCGTATACCTGTGCCATGCGTGCGTATGTGTACTTGTATATGCACTGCGTATCCTGCACTTGTATAATGCCTGTTGTATAATACCTGTACTTGTAATATGCAATGTGTATACCTGTACTTGTATATGCCTGTACTTGTATATGCAATTGTATGTTGCAATGTGCTGCGTACTGTACTGTGTACTATGTATGCAATGTGTATGTACTTGTATATGCCTGACTTGTATAAATGTGTATACCTGTATTGTATATGCACTGTGTATACCAATGTGTATACCTGTATCACTTGTATACTGCACTGTGTATACTGTACAATGTGTATACTGTGTATATGCACTGTGTATACCTGTCTTGTATATGCATGGTATACCTGTACTTGTGCAATGTGTATACCTACTTGTATATGCAATGTACTTGTATATGCACTGTGTATACCTGTACTTGTATATGCACTGTGTATACCTGTACTTGTATATGCAATGTGTATACCTTGTACTTGTATATGCAATGTGTATACCTGTACTTGTATATGCAATGTGTATACCTGTACTTGTATATGCACTGTGTATACCCTGTACTTGTATATGCACTGTGTATACCTGTACTTGCACTGTGTACTTGTATATGCACTGTGTATGGTACTTGTATACACTGTGTATACCTGTATTGTATATGCGTACTGTGTATATGCACTGTGTATACCTGTACTTGTTATGTGTGTATACCTGCTTGTATATGCACTGTGTATGCCTGTATGTATATGCTATATGTGTACTGGTATAC